TTTTCTTAGGTTTCACTGCCCGTAACTTCTTGGAAGACCAATTTCATGTTTAATTTAGGATGTGCTAGAAAGCTCGAGCATGCGCTTGCACTACATCCCTTGCCTTGGTGCGCGCCACGCCTCGGGCGCCCTTCTAATTCGCTGATTCATTTGAAAGCTCATTTAGAGGGAAGCGTGGTTTATAGATGCTCTAGTATCAGTCATCTTACGAAAACGTAACGTGCTGGCTATTATCCGATATTACCAAGAATCCCACTGTCGGCCACCGAGAGGGTACGACCCCCCTCCAAGCTCAACTGAGTACGACCCCCCGTTGTTACTCGTAACAACGTAGGGTTGACCCTGATTCTGACTCAAAGCAAGGATTGGATGCTGAAGAGGGAGAAGCATGCCTATCACGATGGAAAGCTCGGTGGCCAAGGAAGAAAATAAAGAACATTTCGCGACGGGAAGGGCACTCGAAAAAGGCTAACCAGGTCTCACCCATTTCCAGCCTTGTCATCATTCTTCTCTCCTCTCCAATTAACTGCCAAGCCCTGGTGGGTAAGAGGTGCAGCAAGTCGACCAAGGTAATGATATCGGCTACCGCTGAGTCTCGTCCTCAGCCAAAAATCAATGGACAAAATAAGTCCGATTTCTCGGGATTTAGGCCCTTTTTGTTGACTCCTTTTTCACTGCTGCACAATTTGCCATCTCAGACTTCATTTTTGATCTCCATGCAAGCATGGATACATGGTAACAAACCACATTTTAGAAGCCCATTCCCTGGAAAACTTTTCAAGTTGCAGAGTTTAAAAGTAGACACCTGGGCACTGGCTTGGGCGATTACAATTGAGGTGCAAATCAGTTCCGTGGCTAGACCGTGGGTGTCAGGGCTTCATCAACCGTGAGGCTAAGCAATTAAGCGTTGTGTAGCGCTGTCTGGAAGACAAGAGTCTTAGTCCTTATATCACGTTATCATAAAGCGCATGCTTTCCGATCTACACTCTCACCCTTCGGTTTACAGGAGCCTTGCAACCAGTTCGGTAATAACTGCTTGACCTAAAAACAATCCGACCTGCGCAAGATAAGACAATAAGTGAGTTTGGAGTCTCAAGAACAGTGCACACGTATTGGGCGACAAGCTTTTCACTTTACAAAAAGGTTCCGAGCCCACTTCCTTAGCGAGCAGAATGTCAGCGGAAATTAAAGGAGAACAGTTTGTGGTGGTCTGAGGCATGCAAACTTTCGCTTGATAAATGTAAAAACGGACACATGCCGTTCTTTTAGAGAGAATTGTAGAAATTAAGAAGGAAGGACTTAACCAGTCGGCGAAACAAATGACGTATCCAAGTACTCTACCTTCTCAAAAACAACTACAAATTTGAAGTCTGTATGCTCGCTACAACATATCACTGCATGTCTTTTATACACATTTGGGTTTAAACAAGTAACACTACAAATTGGTGACTTAGTAATAAAAAAAGTAAAGTCACATCCTAGGTAAATACAACAAAAACTACAGGAAAGGCAACAGCCACTGCACTTAGGTGACCTAGCCTAAAAAAGGAAACTACGATGAAGAAATGCTAAAAATTATGTAATTCGGTGCCCTACGAAGAACTGATATCATGTAGATTCGATTCGATTCTCCTCAATATGCACCTCAACGTGTGGATCCGCCACTAACGACGCCTGATCTAACAACCTACGCGCTAACAAAATGCTTGTACTCGCGTATAGTTGTTGATCTGGTCCAACGGAAACAGCTCCAGCTTGCTCACGAAGAAACATGCGTGATCCTCGTTTCAAGCCATGAGGTGTGAGGTAGTCCCATGGCCGAATGCCAGTCACAAACGATGCGCCATTATGGAAGGAAGGATACAGCAAGCCCTTCAACGATAGCAATTTCATTGACAAAGGATCTACGGATCAAGAGAAGAAGGCTAACCTGATCCGACGACAGCCATAACAGTACTGACAACTTGGTATGGATATCCAAACGAGTTCATCACGAACGGAATCGCGAAGTTCGAGAACTTACGTAGATCCTCGACTTCCTAAACAATTGCCAAAGTGAAAATAACCGGCTCTATTTTTCTGAAGAAATCTACAATGAAACAGCGCACCTTGGCACTCTTTTCTCCCTTCTTCTGGTACATTCCTGACATCACAATAGCTCGTCAG